AGCTTCAGGACAAGGGAATTATTATTGTCAACACCGCCACCTTCGAAAGCGTCTGGGCCCCAGCCGCCTGTGGGTGTAGTCTGTAGGGTTTACGGTTTAGGGTTTTACCATAAGCGTCTTAATTGGCAAACATTGGGCTACAGGCTGACACGTTGTGAAGCTGAGGGTTCTGAAATTCGCAAGCGGTACAATCTGTAGCTTTCAGGCTCCGGTGTAAGATTGTTAAATCACAGGTGTCAGCTTTCCGATGTCCCTAAACTCCTGAACCCTTAACCGAAACAGCTCCCCAACCACGACGCCTCGGTTTTCAAGTCTGCGCAGCCAGTTCCTCCACCCAGCTCCCATCCAGCTCTACACCTCTACGAGGTTGCAACCTCCTTTGGCTTTCAAAGCGGGTATCTATCGGCACATGAACCTTCATGGTCTAGGGAGTCTGGGGCCTAGGGTCATTTCCAGGCTGAGGAGATATGTTCCAGTCCGATACAACAGGGATTTGTTGTGAATTAGGTACACTACGGGAGTCCTAGCAAGGTCGGTTGGAAGAACACCGAATGTAGCTTTCGTGTTCGTAGTTGGGTTGCAGCCAATGTTGGGCTGGTCCGAGCCATTCGTTTCGCGATTCGGCTGTGAGGTTGACTCCAATGGGCCGGGTGGGTTTAGCATCAGGTTCCTTGAAAGTCGTGACCTATGGCAGCGGTAGAAAGGTGAGGCGAGCTTTCGAGAACAACTTGTGGTTCTATCGCCCGGAGAATGCCACATCCATCATGCACGCGAATTGCAAAGCTGTCACAAAGCCACTGTACCCACAAGTCTACCTTGCTCTCGAAGATGCCTTGCTCGCACCTTGTGACGTCTTCGGTCATTGACGTCAGCACACCGTGAGCTTTATCCTGAGCTTTAGCGCATGATGAATGTACGGTTTTGCGGACAACAAGGTGTTTCTAGATTAGGACCGTAGTGGCCACGGGGGTTGAATGCGTTCCAACTCAAATGCCAGTGCCTTCGATGCATATCATGTTCCAGCCACGCTGCGCCTGCGCCTGACTCGGTGCAAACAGGAGTCGCGTCTGCCTGCACTGTTGCACAAAGGCATCTCGTCTAGGCTCTCACACACACATTCTGACTGCCAGTCTCTGCTTCTTTGTTCTCGTTTTTTTTCACATTCCTTCCCTTTTCTCTCTCTCTCTCTCTCTCTCTCTCTCGCTTGATTCGCCTTTCTAGTTTTATGTTATCTTCTCTTTCTCTGTCTCCGTCATTGTCTCCGTCTCTGTATCTTTCTCTCTCTTGCTCTTTCCCCCCTTGTTTTTCTCTCTTTGTCTCTTTCTCTCTTCCTCTTCCGGGATTCCGCTGTCTCTTCTCTTTGTGTGTCTTCGTCTCTGTCTCTATCTTTATCTTTATAATATTGTTTTTTTCTCTTTCTCCTTCTCCTCTTCATATTGGTCGTTCTCTCTTTCTCTACCTGTTCCTCTTTCGGTTTCTCTGTTTCTTTGTCTTTCCGCTTCGATTTATCGTTATCTTTCTCGTTCTCATTTTCCTTCTCTTTTGCTTTCTTTGTCGTTGTGTTTTAACTTTTTGTCTCTCGCTCCCTCTCTCCCCCTCCCTCTCTTTTTTTTTTCTCTCGTTCTCGCTCTCCCTCTCTTTTCTTTTCCTCTCTTTTTCTCGCTCGTTCTCTCTCCCTCACTCCCTTTCTCCCATTCTCCCGCTCTCCTTCTCTCTACCTCTCTCTCTCTCTCTATCTCCCTCTCCCTCTCTCCGGTCCAGGAGTCTAGGGTTTAGGATTTCGGACTTAGATGTAGGTTTCCCGAAAGACGCATGATGCACCAATTCCTTCTTGGGTATGGTAGGCTGCAGCAGAGGAGACTGCTTCACGGAAATACAACTGGTGGCTCCTAACCCAAGAGTTGAAGTTTCTTCAGGGGTCCTTTTCATCAGGATTTGACTCATGACCACATTTGAGGCTAAATTAGGATCTAGGATGGGCATTAGTTAATTTAGGATCTCTGATGGGCATACCTCCTCTGTCCTAAAACCCCCACAACCCATAAGCCCTAAACCCCAAAACCCTAAACCCGTAAACCCCTAAACCCCTAAACCCCTCAACCCTACACCCCTAAACCTTAAACCCTACCCCCCCATAACCCGCACAGAAGAAGTTCCATGGTGAGGCCAGGATAGAGCCGAAGGGGCCGAATCACATGACTCTGGCCGGGAGCTTGGAATCCTTAGAGTTCCTTTAAAGGTGTCTATAAGGGCTACGTACCGCAAGGTTCGTTTAAAGGGTTCTATCAGGGCTACTATAAGCGGTACATAGGGGCTATTACAACGACAAGATATAACCCAGGGTTCCCTACTCTAGGGTTCTTTTAAGGGGGTCTAGAAGGGCTACTGTAAGGGCCATTATAAGGAATCTTAATTAGGGGTCCTTTAAAAGGGTCTGTCAGGGTTACTATGAGGGATCTACCAGGGTACTACAATAGAGGGGCTTTAATGATTACCTATAGGGTTCCTCTAAAGGGGTATGAAAGGGCTACTATAAGGGCCAGTATAGGAAAGGGATATATCAGGACTACGAAAAGGGCCATTATAAGGATTTAATAGAGTAGCCTGAATAGCTGCCTCTAGTTTTTTTTGTTTTTTTTTGGGGGGGGAGGGGGCGTGCTCATTATCATTTTATAATGGGCCCCACAAAACCTAGTGATTGATCATTACGGCCTCTGTATTAGCTGGATCAGCTATGGGTGCTGGGTTGGGTTTCATCGGTGAAGACAGGTTTGGTCTTTGCTCCAGGCTGATTGGCTTCCTCGCAACTGGGAAAGGATGTACCTATCTCGCTGCATCGTTGTGCGATCGTATCGCTGCACACCCGCAGTGAACTCCACAAAGTACATAATTAATTAGAAACCTGGGTTATGGCGAGGGCATGAAGCCGATGATGTTCCGACTTGCTTCCGAGTGAGAAATCTCACGTCCGAGCATTCCAACGGCAAACGCCAGAGTTGCGCACCCTATGAACCGTGAATTCGAGCCCTTAGCCTCAAGCCCCTGAGTTTCAATCCTGAAGCGCTTATAATTTCTTGATTTCCAGAATTTCAATCCTGAAACCTTCAAATCCCTGAATCTCACGAAGGACAAGTACAAGGACCTTTTCTTCGCGGCGTCCTCCGCGGCCTGAGGCTTCAAAGTGATACAGGCCAGACATGCTAGGGTTTACGGGCTTCAGGGTTTAGGGTTTTAGGGTTGAGGGTTTAGAGGGTTTTAAGGTTTAGGGCTTCGGGTTTAAGAACCTTGGTGTGGGCACCGAAGAGTCGCTGGCATGATTGTGCGAATGGTCAGGGAGGGGTCCGGCATAGTTTGGGGTTCGGGTTGAGCTCGAGATTTCTGGGACATACTGTCCTCATTTCACGTCTTAGAACCTATTTTAGACTCTATTTGTTGTATCCAGAATAATTGTGAAGCATTGAAGCTTCCAACGGTACTGATTCAGGGTTGATGTGGCGCTTACAGTTCGGATTGATTTGCGTGCGGCAAAACCTGAAACAGCTACAATCGGAGACATGGCTGTAGTGAGCACAGCGACTTCACATTACGCGTTCGGGTTCACAGTCTCCAGTTGATGCGCTGTCAACCTGCAGTCCTGGCCGCAAATCCTAAAGTTCCTAAAGCAAAATTGTTGCAGTCATACCGCGAGCGTTTAGCTTCGCCGAATGTTGTTACCCACCATGATCGGCGAGTCCCCAAACCCTCAATCTTCAGCTTTAAACGCCTAACGCCCCAAACCGGGAACACCGAAACACAAAGCCACAAACATCGACCGCCGCAACCCCAAAGCTTTTATGAAATCTTACAAATCCCTTATTTAGTTCACCGTCGTACCTTTAAAGCCTTTAGGGCCCCTGTAGAACCTGTAGCACCCCTACACATCATCCCTGAATCCTGAAACCTTAAACACGAAACCTCCAAACCCAAAGCCCTATGGCTGCCAGGCAGGCCGCAAGCCGTAAGTCGACCTGTACACTTGGCGAGCACGCGGCGTAACAAAAAGTGGGGAAGACCGGAAGCAAAGGTGAGGCTTTGGCTTAGAGTATTCGGTTTGATATTGAGCAAGGGGCCATGTTTGTGTTGTTGCAGCATCGACAGCAAGATGCAGACAGTTGTAGTTCTTTGCTACCTATGACAGCGACTACAGCATGTATTGCGTTTAAACGAACCCATCAGGACCATTGCGAAGCTGTCAGCTCACCTGTCCAATGTCCAAGAGCAGGGTTCGTCAGTTGGTGCTCCGTGATTGCGGAGTTGAAGCTTCAGACCTCATGATAAACCTTAAACCCTAAACCTCGCCTGAGTAAGGAAGACTATGGAAGCTTAAATTTTCTGCCAGTGTGGAGCAGAGGAGTGCACACCACGGAGTCACGGCCCCTGACCCTCCCGGCCGTAAGCATTGGAGCTAGCCTCTGTTGATCGTAGTGAACACTCGCTGTACGTGATCTTCGTTAATGGCAACAGTGTTTCTTCACAGCCATCAACAGCGCGTGCTTCTCAGCACGACTCGTAACCTCATTGCGACCTCGCCCTCGTCGTCGTCGTCCTCCTCCTCCTAATCACCATCATAATCACCATCATCATCACCATCATAATCACCATCATCATAATCACCATCATCATCATCACCATCATCATCATCATCATCATCGCTACCATCCTCCTGATGTCTTTGCTTTTGCCTTGATAACGCCCTGAGAGTCGAGACCGTGCGGATCTGGTTCTTCAGGACAAGTTGTTGTGGCACCACCACCATCATAGTCGGCGTCGGCTCCATCATTGTGTCGCCGAAACCTTGGGGACCAAATAACCCTTATAAGTAGGAGCCCTACATCATTATACTAACATGATGAACCCTTATGTGGTTTATGAACCTTAAACCCTCTAGGGGTGCTCTTCGTCCTGAAGGAATGGTACTTCTGAAGCAAGCCCTCGGGTCCTCGATCGAATCTCTGGCCCAGGCACGCCTTCATCGGCTTAGGATTCGAGGACACGCGGGGATATTTTGCATGGCAGCATCTTGAGGAGTGGAGAAGGAGTTCAGCAACTGTTTCAGCAGACCCTAAACCCTTAAAGCGTAAAACCCTGAACCCTCAACCTTAAAACCTTAAGACCTAAAACCCTAAACCCTGAACCCTAAGCCTTTCCCTTTCTGTGCGTCGACCCCAGATGTAAGGAAGAAACCAAGCCTTGCGATTCGCCGACCCCAGGGGGCCAGAGCTTGGAGTTTATAGGTCTCGGGCTTATAGTCGGGTTTAGGGTGTAACTGTAGGGTTTGGGGCTTAGGCCCAAACAGTAGGGCTTACCTAGAGGCTCCATACGAGCTCCTTTTGAGGGTTCATATTTAGAATTCTAGAAAGGTAATCCCAAGGAACTACTATGGAGCCTAGGGGTATAGTAGACCCCAGAGAGTTGGAAAACCGGATTCATGACGATTAGTGCTGGGATTCTCTATACATTACACAAAAAGGATTGAGATTAATACTGGGTTTCCAACTTTTGGGCTTCTACTACAGAGAGTGTACGGTGCAGAGTGCTGGGTTTAGGATTTTGAGCATAGGGCGAGGGTTTAAAGTCACATCTGAGCTGCCGCCCTCATGCCCAGAGGTGTTTGCGTCGGCTCCCTGCCTTGGGAGAAGTATTCCGTGAGTAAACAGAGCAACGATGTAGAGAGCCCGGTTACCCGTAACTACAAGCCCAAACAACCCTAAACCCTAAACCCATAAACCCTAACCACTCTTCCTGGAGGCTTAGTTTCTGGACCCTTGAAGCTTCAAAGTGTTGCGCCATCTTCAGCTCCGAACCGTCCTTCCTGAGCGACGGAATAAGTGCCAGAAGCATTTAGTGTTGTGACGCGCTATGGCGTTTGATAGAGGCCGGAGTATACGATCCCTTAAGGTGTACCCCAAAGCCCTGTTCGAATTATTAGGGCCCCTAGGTTAGGTGTCGTGGTGGCCGGCGGTCCCTTCGCATTACGGTTCATTAAGCAAAACCGATGCCAGCCGGTAACCTCCGAGAGTCCTATAGACAACAGATCAATCCCTACCAGTAGCGCCAACCCTGCTACAATACCTGGCCCTATAAACCCTATTACCCCTCGACCCCGCCACAAGACCTTGAACCCCAAGCCCAAACCCCTCAACCTCCCAAACCCATATCCTCGCCAGCACACCACGAACCCGAACCACATTTCCTACAGCCCAAGTCACGGTAGGACCGAAATGACGCCTTTGACTTCAACTGCACACTCTCGGACTTCAAGACGACCTGGGTCGACCGAGAGAAGGACGCTTTGCAGGTTCCTGTTAAGAGTTTAGGGTATAGTTTTTCCGGGTGCCTCTTAAGGGCTTTGGGTTTAGGGTTTTGTTGTTTTGTTGACGGTTTAGGGTTAATCAGGGTATAGGGCTCGGAGTACTTGGCAAAGTACTATGTATCCTATGCAGGATTGGGGGTAGGGTTTGAGGTATGCAGATCAGTTGGGGCTTCTACTTGAGGGGCAAAGGCACTGTCCCACTTCTAACCCTATACCCTATACCGCAACCCTCCTCCATACACAACTCCCTGTCAAAGACCGTAAACACTAAACCCTAATAAACCCGTAAATCCCTTAAAGAAGCCTTAAACTCAACAACTCGAAACCCCTAACCCCAGAAAGAAGCCCTAAACCCCAAACCATTAGCACTAAGCTCTACCTTAGTTCCGAATAACATACCTTTTTAAGGACTTCTATAATAAGGAAATCATACGAAGGAGCCCAACAACGGTAGGTTATTCATATTGATATAAGAATATCGAAACATATAAGAATACAGGTATACACAATCAAGAAGCTCAGATATACAGACAAGTAGACGTCTAGGGGTTAAGGTAAACACCTAAACAAACCCGGAAGACGAATGAGTGAAACTCAGAGGAGGCAGCACAGCCCGTCCAGGCAGCTGGACCTGCGAAGGACAGAAGACCGAGGGTTGATGATATAAATCCTGCATTAGCATAATGACCCTAAACTATGGGAATTGTGGTATATTCCTTATTATGGGTAATGCAGGATTTATACCATCAACCGTAGGGTTCAGGCTTTTAGGGTTCAGGGGCTTAGGAGTTTAGGGGTTAGGGGTTTAGGGTTTCGGGGGTTAGGGTCCTAGGGTTTCAGGGTTTAGGGGCTTAGGAGTTTAGGGGCTTAGCGGTTTAGGGGCTTAGGGGTTTAGGGTGTAGGGGTTTAGCGGTTTAGGTTTTAGGGTTTAGGGCTTTGGGGGTTTAGGCTTTCAGGGTTAAGGGGTTTTAGGGTTCAGCGTTTTTGGGCTCCGGGATTGTTGTGTTGGTTCAGGATTTGAGGTTTAGGGTTCAGGATCCGCGGTGTTGGATTCTCCAAGGGTAAAAGGAGGGACCCTTAATAAGGACCCCTAGGCATATACCCTTAATTTAGCTATTATATACCCACTATATAGCCCCATTATAGGGAAGTAATTAGTTCCTTTCTGGGGGTTCTTATTTAGACTTCTATAACGGAATCCTGAAAAGGAACTACTTTGGGGCCTATGGGTAAGCCCTAAACCCAGTAAATGTCGGGTTTCTAGGTTCGATTAGGACTTAGCGTTACGGGTTGAGGCTTTATGCCCATCTGGGAATCTGGGGCTTGTAGCGCGTCGCGCCGCTGGCACAATGGCCCCAAACCCCAAAGCCCTAAACCCCTAAACCCTAATCACACACAAACCCTAAGCCCGAAACCCCTAAGTAAGCACCTAAACCCCTAAACCACAAAACCCACAACTCCCAACCCCTAAACCCTATAAAAACCAGAAACCTCGAACCCTAAAACCCTAAAATGAATCCTTGGAACCTCGTAGGGAGGTTTCGATTAGGCCTTTGAGGTCAGCAGAGTCTACGAGTTGAGTGGAAATGTTACTACGGTTGATGATATACATCCTGCACTACCTTAAGGACCCTAAACTATGGGAATTATGGTATATTCCTTATCATTATGGGTATCGTAATGACCCTAAGCTAAGGGAAATATGGTATATTCCTTGTTATGGGTAATGCAGGACTGATATCAGCAACACTAGGATATCCAGATAGCCTTGGTACCCATATGGTAGAATGTAGGGTTTCTCTGGTAGGAAGTAGCTGTCCTCCCTGAGCCATGCCCACATGATAAACATAGTAGGGCCTACCCATAGGTCCCAAAGTAGTTCCTTTTTCGGGGTTCATATATAGAATCCAATAAGGTAATCCCGAAAAGGAACTACTATGGGGCCTATGGGTACAGCTAAATATACAGGAGCTTCTGAAAATAGATACCTGCAACGTGTAGACCCAAAACAGTAGGATCCTTGCCGGTTGTCAAAATTAGGATCCCTTTTTGGGTCCCTATTATAGTACGACACCTAATATTTAGATTTCGACAACTACCCATATGGTAACGTGCTAATTGAGGAAATGCAATGGTTCGAGGTTCCAACAACGACAATTACTTTACCACCGGCGCGGGCTGCAAACTGTGCACCATCAAGTTGTCAGCTTAGACCATCCCGCTTGATGGCCCGCGTGTTGACAACTTTGTAAAAGTATGATTTTTGCTACAGGCCAGGGACGAAATTGCACGGCAAGGCTAGTGTCTGTGTACCCAATCTGGGGCTTGGCTTCTGATCCGAAGCAATGTCGGCGCTTCGCAAGGTTTATTGGCCGTTTTACCGCTGCAGTCGAGCTGATTCTTCTGGTTTGTCATTGCTTCTGTGATTGAGGTGGGCTGCTGTTTCTCGATGATGTGGGTTGGTTAATCGTTCATGTTCTGTGTGGTAGGGTTGACAAAGAACATCAACGTTGGGTAGTCTGACCTGTTATCGGGGTTCATGGACGTGCCAGACGAAACCAGCGCAATTGTTACGTGTAAGCCAATGTAAGCTTGGGGTCACGTGGCATGCGATCGGGTTTTTCTGCAGTGCGATGGCGACCTGTTGGCATGTTTTCGTTGGGCCGGGCTTGACAACCAAACACTTATATACAGAGTTGACAGAAGACAGATCTAGATGCAAAATCAGGGTCGTTGTTGCATGCTCTGGCTTAGCTGTGGAATTTTTCGAAGATACAAATGCGATCTTTCGATTGGTCGCACAAATCATAAAGCTATTCGCGTGCGGCGTGCCCTGCAGCAGGCACGCTGGCACCACTAAGTAACCATTTTTCAGCACATCGCGTCTTCCGTTGCCCGGCCCGCTACTGATGTCGTTGGGTTTGATTAATTGTGCTTTCGTGAGCAGGAGGGAGCGACACAATGGAAGCAAACAAGCCTCGCGTATTCATTCCGGTTGTCGCGTCCTGTCGGTTTGATGCCGCGAGGACCTGTCCTTGAAAGAAGGCCTGGGACTTGGCGTGGTGTTGGCTGAACTGTTTCTTTGACGGATATCCAGCCGGTGTGACACATCTTCCCGTTTCTCGACAAGCAAAATGTTTCTATCAGCCAGAAAGATCCAGAAAGCACCCGATCGGAAACAAATTGATATGCTATCAACAGCTGCTGCTCGTTGCTGAACAGCTTCGTGAAATCTTGAGAAGATGGCGTGGTACATAAGCAAGACATTTGTTTGTTTCCATGACCGAAACCCCACAATTCCACCTCCGTGCCTCGATTGCTGGCTTGAGAAGGCACCAGCTGTTCTTTGAACATGTAATGTAAGTTGGTGTCTCTCGAAATCTGGCACTTGGCTGACGGTCCCGTGCAATGAGCACTTTAGCTCAGCATGCAAGTTTATTGAGCTTCTCGTTGCAGTCCACGGCTCAAGCCATGCGGGTTTTGGTCTTAAGCTTCCGGCGTTTGTTGGGTTCAACCCACATGTCAACCAGTAATGTATTATATGCAGTAGGGCATCCAGCTTCCTGTGCGTATGCTCATGTGGTTTCATCGTAGATCTTCAAGTTGTTCAACGGAGTTCTGTCAGCCCTAGTTTGTGTCGCACCCGGGACAGGCCAAAGCAGGTATACCGACAACAGAGGTCGGGCAAAACATTGACACCGAAGCATCGCATGGATGCTCTACCCGATGCGATTCTGGTGCGCTGCTTTGGTGGCGTTTGTCATGACAGAGGTTCGTGGGGCTACCAATGTAAGGTGATGTAGCAGATTGATATGAGTCTGGCTTGAACGATGGTGCCCAATTGACAACTGCTGCTGTCGATCATATCGATGACATGGGTTGTTTTGCCGCAGATGTCGTCCTGCCTGAACAGTGTGACTGTGGTTTGTGGGTATGATGATACTGATGATGAAGATGTTGTTGATGAAAGTGGTGCTGTTGACACACCGTGCTGTAGTTACGTGCCAACCGTGGTTGCACGTATCGACTGTCTGGTGTCGAACGAAAAAATACCTTCTAAGACCCTTTTACTCTGAAACTGGTGGACTACTGATTAAGAAGAAGGTTGATGATCATCATGATGAAGGTGACGAGCCCGACTATACCTGGTTATGATGGTGATGACGACGACGGTGCAGAAGAACACCCCAAATTGCATTTTGCCCGGTCCTCGGGATGAATACTTCGAGGTCTCCATGTGACCTGAGAGGACATTACTGACACTACACGTCATTCTCTGGCTGTTTTTGTTTGCCATGCCAGAAGCCGTTTGTTTCAACTGAGGACTTTTCTTCCTGCATGCGTCCAGCTTTGGGGAGCTTATAAGCTCTGCGCTTTGCGGAAAGCAGTGGCTTCAGGTGCCTGCTTGGTAGGAAACATTGAGCTTCTTCTGTGTTCGCCATGGCCGGGGGTTCTGTACGACGCAAGGATTGCACCTTCGAGAAGTCATGCTTCGGACTTCGGACTGGCAAGGCATCGTGGGTGACGGGATTGCAGCTAAGATGCCCAGGGTATTTTTTTTAGTTCGTTGCGATTGATTGAAGAACTTCGGCTTCGATCCAGCCTGGTAGGAACTGAGAACGCCTTCCGAGCGTTCTCGAGGCACACATAGACCCCAAATAACTACCTTTTCATAGACGTATAATCGGGAGCCCTAAAACGGAAATGGTCTATAGGGTCCAGTGACGAAAAACCAGCTCGACCCATTGACCCTTTTCTCTTGAAAATCCTCATTGACATACCCCAAACACAAGTTTGATCCACACATGCCTTAAACACCAGCTAGACCCTCTTCCATTTAGCCTAGCGAGACCCAATATGCCATCAACCTTAACCAAGCCCGGCACGCCCCACATCCTAAGCTCGATAAACTCGTGCCCAAATCCCAAATTCAACCCTAAACCCAATGTAAGACTTCAACCCCGAAGCGCTAGCAATAACCCTGTAAAGCTTACAACAAACAAGGAAGGCTAAAGAAAACCCGAGAAACCCCGATAGTGCCATTAAGCTCATAACGTCCTAAGGTGGATCTGTGAGGGATCTGCTGTTTAGGTTTCCTTTCAAGCATCTCTAGGGTGCTACAGGGCTCCTTTTAAGGATCCATGCGGTTGATGATATATATCCTGCAGTACCTTATTAAGGACCCTAAACTCTGGGAATTATGGTATATTCCTTCTTATGGGTAATGCAGGATTTATATCATCAACCGTAGTGTTTCTTTATGGGCATGTGGGGAGGTCTTCGGCTCCGATGCACTCCGCATCTACCGAGAGGCACATTCTGTGGGTCTTTGCACTTCCCTTACCTGTGGTTAGTAGGGAATGGAAGAATGGTAGTAATCGTAGTTATAATTATATCCCATTCCTCCATTCCCTACTAGCCAAAGGTAAGTTCTGAGAGGCTCAGGCTTTGTTTCTAGGATGCCCAGTAGTACCCTTATTCCCTTTTTGTAGTCCTAGGTTCCTTATAAAGTTACCCAATACCAAAAAGGGAGCCCTTTTTATTCCTAGGTTACTGGGCATCCTAGGTTTGGATCTGCAGTCTGAGTGTTTGGGTTTGTAGAGCCCAGGGTCTTGCTATGTTTCGCTATTAGGGCTTCTGCGTATATGCTTACAGAGTCTGGTGCTTCACGTGTTTGTCAGCGTTCATATGAATAGAGCGTAGGGTTTTTCAAACGGGCTTCGTGAATTCGCATTTTTGAGGTTTTGGGAGGGGTATCCACCGGAGGCGAAAAGATGTCTTTTTGTCCCGCATGTTTTCGCCCCTGCCTAGGCTTCGAGATACCGAACACAAGGTAAGCACCCGAACGACCGAAGTTCTATGTGAAGGCACTATTCCAGGAAGCAGTTTCACATCCTGGAAAGGTTTGGCGATATGAAGAGGGACGGTCGTGGATTACAGAAAGAGCGATAGAATCCGAAAAGGCCTACGCATGTGTGTATCGATCTAGCCATCTTTCTATCGAATATAAGTGTCTCTGTATATCTGTAGTTGGATATACCCTTAACCCCATTCTGGTTATGAAGGCCCCTATACATGTGCCGAACCTGCTCGTCATTGTTAGTCTACCTGTAAGTTTTTTCCTCCGTGCAGGTGTTGGCAAAGTTTTGCTGCCTCCCCGGTTCTTTGCGCGAGCTTCTCGTCCTCTTGGGTATCAGGTGTCTACTGACAGGATCATGGGACTTAGTAACTATAGGTTTATACTGGGGTAACTATACTTATAACTACTTATAACCCCAATTAAGGTACTTATAACCTTACTTACCCATGATCCTCCAAGTAGTTACAAGTCAGTTTCAGCAGCTTCGGGCTATTGGCTGGACAGCTTGAGGGCTTCGCAAGCTGGATATGAGGGCGCAGACCCGAGGCTTCCTGCATTCATGCTTTATCTGCTGATCTCCCGCTGTTGGAGAAGTTACTTTGCTCCAGAGTTCGGTACCTTCTAGCAGATTCTTCGGTACCTTCTAGCAGATTCTAGCATCTTCTATCACGGTTCTACTTCGAACTCGACTCAGCATGCTGCTGTTCTGACTCTACGGCTTCGGCCCCCCAAGCCCTTAAGGCTTATTGTAGGAGCCCAATGAGTTACCCATACTACTCTGGGGGTCCCTTATTCTAGTTATAGTAATCACAAGATGCCCCAAAGTTTAGGGTTTAGGGTTTGGGGTCCCGTATTCTAGTTATAGTAATCATCATATACCCCAAAGCCCTCTTCTAATTATTAAGGCCCCTATGGTACCAAGGTGCCTTGACAATCAGCCGCGCCTCAAAGCGGCCAAGGGTTGGCCGGAGTTCTGTGGCCGGCAGCTGCGCCTGCAATCGCCACTTGACCAGTGCTTCTAGGCCTTGCGATCTGTACCGCCGAGGTTCTAGTCGAGATATTGGGATATACACATGTGTATACACACATGTATGTCAGCACTTGCTTTGAAGCTTCTCCTTAAGTCGAAATTATCCAGGTCGCCTCACTTGTCAGCTGGGACAAAGCAGTCTTCGTTTGGATGTCTTTGTTCTGTGAGGGATCACCCTGAGGCCTTTAACCCTAAACCTTACAAGCCCCAAGCTCCCAAACCCTAAAACCCTCAAACCTAATCCCTGAGCCCCAAACCCTAACCTAAACCTTGGACCTTTGAGGCTCAGAATGGCAGCTTCATTCCGTTTTGAAGACTGATGGGCCAACCTGCAAGGATGAGATGATTTCCATGGATATGTTTTGGCTTACTTGGAGGATCATGGGACTTAGTAAGTAAGGTTATAAGTACCTTAATTGGGGCTACAAGTAGCTATATGTATAGTTGCCCTAATTATAACCCTAGTTACAAGTCCCATGACCCTTTAAGTAACCCCAAATAACCTACCTTCCTAGCCCCAGGCTGAAAGCAGTGCGTACATAGGAGAAGAACATACAGGGCTTCTGTGGCAAAACTTGCTGTTATGGTTTGGGCAAGCGTTCCCCATATAGGTCCTTAGGACCCTTTTTGTAGTACTAGACTCTGAGCATCCCTCAACCCTAGGCCCAACATCCAGGGACTAGTGCTCAAACCCTGCACCCCACGCCAAGGCTACTTGCTGGGAAGTACATGGGCACGGCCTCTTGGATGAGGTTCTGAGTTTTAGTCTTTGTTTAATGTTGATAAGTCGCTTGCCATAGGCTTTGTCCAGCAGTCAGGGCATTGAACTGAGTCCGACTGCTTTTGGACGTACTTCCGCGCTGCATGTAATACAATACCACGCGGGTCCCAGTAATACTCCCCTCTGATAACTCCTAAGTACAGTATAGTTATACCCCCCCCCCACTGTTCTAATCATTAGGCACCTGTATCATGGAATCCCCCTGCAAGAACCCTTAAAGGAGCTCCATTCCAACTCTGATTACTTCGACGAGCTTTTTGCTCAGAGGATCCGAACCAAGGGCCTAAACCTCTGCCCGGACGTCCTTCGGCTTTAGGGTTTAGGGGTTTAGGGTTTAGGGTTTAGGGTTTAGGGTTTAGGGTTTAGGGGTTTAG